GAAAAAAAAATTATCTTCAAATCCCCTCAAATCCACTCAAAAGAACAAGTCCTAAAAGTGGCAATGAAGCCTATATATAAAATTATTACCATCTAACTTCTCATAATGGCATTTTTAGAGTTTGCTGCTGTGCACTGCAATCTGAGATTGATTANTTTGTCGTTTTTTTGAGCGAATTTGGAGGTAAATGAGAGTGAATTTGAAAATAAAATTTGTGAGAATTAGTATAGAATTGTATTGACGTGACAAATTTAAAAAAATTATTTTCAAATTCACTCATTTACCTCCAAATTCGCTTAAAAAAACGAAAAAAAAATTATCTTCAAATCCCCTCAAATCCACTCAAAAGAACAAGTCCTAAAAGTGGCAATGAAGCCTATATATAAAATTATTACCATCTAACTTCTCATAATGGCATTTTTAGAGTTTGCTGCTGTGCACTGCAATCTGAGATTGATTACTATGGAGGTTATCATCGTTGTTAATCAGGAATTTTAACTTGTATACTCAGATGAGTCTGTCTACTTCCCTATCAAGAACAAGTTAGAACGCTTGAAACTCAGATGAACATGAACTCATCTAAACTTGCATGTTCGTGGGCAAGTTCTTGAATACACATACTGTTAAGATACAAACAAAGTTTCACATAAAATAAAACAAGATATGAATATGAGTTTATATACACAAAAGATATCTTCCTTGGTAAAAGGTCTTTTGGAGTGGTATCAAAAGCAAATTCGTGAGAGCTTGACCCAAAGCGGACAATATCTTACGATTGTGGAGATCTATACATGTGTCGAACCTCCCTACAATTGGTATCAGAGTTGATGGTTCAAGTATGGTGACCGGGCTCAGACTATGTCCTTTATTTGAGGGATTGTTAGGATACAAACAAAGTTCCACATTGGATAAAACAAGAGATGAACATGAATTTATATATACATAAGATACCTTCATTGGTAAGAGACCTTTTGGAGTGGTGTCAAAAGCAAATCCGTGAGGGTTTAGCCTAAAGCGGACAATATTTTACCATTATGGGGATCTATGTGTGTCGAATCTCCCTACACAGACCTTCTGTGTTTTCTGAAAACTAAATCATTCATAATCCTTGAATTCCATAGGCATTTCTCATTAATTAATATGTATTTCTATCGTGGGCAATGGTGATTAGTGGGCTCAAAATGATTATTCTGCACATTTGTCCATGGTAATGAATTATTTTTTTCGAATAAAGTTATCTTGCATAGTTAGTCTGAGTTTATCTTGCAAATATCATACTGTCTCAAGGTGAAATGTTGTTGCAATAATCTTTTTTGAAATATTTTTACGTTTGTGTATCTATATGTAGGCTTATTATTTTACCATGCTTGCAGGAAAGAGAATTGGCATTAAGATCATTTAAAACTGGCAACACCCCCATATTGGTTGCAACTGATGTGGCTGCACGCGGGCTTGATATTCCTCATGTTGCCCATGTGGTTAACTTTGACCTTCCTAATGATATTGATGATTATGTACACCGTATTGGAAGAACAGGGCGAGCAGGAAAGAAAGGCCTTGCAACTGCGTTCTTTAATGACAACAATGCATCACTAGCTAGGCCTTTAGCAGATCTGATGCAAGAAGCGAATCAAGAAGTACCTGATTGGCTCTCACGGTATGCTGCTCGCTCTTCTATTGGTGGTGGACGGAACCGTCGAACAGGAGGAAGCCGATTTGGTGGCCGTGACTTTCGAAGAGAAGGTTCTTTTAGTAGGGGTGGTTCTGATTACTACAGTACAGGAAACAACAATGGTGGATATGGCAATTCTGGTGGTTATGGTGGAGGATATGGTCCTGGGGTAACTAGTGCTTGGGACTGATTTTCAACCCCTGATAGAATTATACACAGTGTCTTAGGTATTAGGTGCAGACTTACACCTATAGGGTGACTTTTCTCCCTTTTTTGTCTTTCAAAGTTCATGTTCTTCAATTTACTTTTTTCCTTCCCGGTGTGTCAATCCAACATCATTTTGTACGGTTTATAACTCTAATCACCAAGAGAGATGTTGGTGTGTGAGGCATCATTACCAGATCAGCAGAGGTCGTGCAGGGTCAGTAGGTGTTGGCAATGGCGATTACTAACATTACTAGGAGTTCATTTTTACAACTATCTGTACCCTTTCATTTTTGGTGGTTAATTTGCTGAGGGAAAGGTTGTAGGCTTTTATTTACAGTCGTGTCTATTTATCTCTTGATCATCTTGTGTTTCTTCACAATATATGTTGTCATTTCGAGTTTCCCCATTTTAATGGGCTAAGGTTTTGTAATATTTTAGTAGTGACTGAAATGAATGAAAATTATTCTTTCCGGATCTTTGTATTTAACATTTATGTGGAAATGTTTGTTCATGGTTTTTCTTGCACGAATGCATTGATTTCTTTTCAAATAAAAGTGTTAAAAGAAACATCCATACTTTGATGGTGTGTTTTCATGAAGTAATTGAGAATAGTTTTCATTTATTTAATAGATTTATTTTTAATTTTTAAAATAACATGGATTATTTGGATGAAAAAAAAATTAAAATAATAGGAAAATTGTAAACTTTTGAAAAAGGTATTTGGAATAATTAAAATAATTCTCTTAGAAAAAGGAGAAAATTAAAATGTTATGACTAGTCACATTTTTATGTAGACATATATATTGCAAAAATTAAAATACTAAATATTATTTAAAGATTAATATTTTTTGTTGTAAAATTGAATTTTAAAATATATATATAATGTGGAATTTAGATTCTCGATACCTCTTGTTGGATCTATCAAGTAGGAGGTTTATTGAGGAGATACAACACCAATTAGATTTGAGGTCAATCACATATGGGATTGTCACTACTCTTTACAAAAAATCTTAAGGCAATGAGTTAATGGATCTTTAACCTTATATCATGTTCTACTTTCTCATTTTTTATTTATATTTTGAGTTTAGTCCATATTTCTTCTATTATAAATAGAGTATTCTATGTGTATATTCAACAAAGAAAGATTAATCTCATACGTAGTTTTCAATATATTCAATACTTTATAATATAATTATTAATTAAATTTTCAAAAAATATAATTAAGTGAGCTTTTAGAAATAATCATTATGTTGAAATATTTTATATAATTCTATCAAAGTTTTTTTTTCTATTTTTTTTTATCATATTTGTAGTATGCCAACATTCATTCAAGTAATTTTTATTATTTTCTTTGTTTTTTTATAAATGAACTTAATTAATTTTTATATATTATTAACTTATAATACAATATAAATATTTAATAAATACAAATACAGGTGAGATAGAATGTAAGAACCTAGAAAATAGAATATTAGAGTTGATAAGTGTTTTAAAATAATGAGACAAAATATTTTAATGTTAAAATAATTCAATAATATAAATACAATCTCATAAACTCGTCTCATTATCTAAAATACTCATTATTTCTCTAAAAGTCTTTCTTTGAGTTTCCTTTCCTTCTATCTAAGATTTATAACTCTTGAATCATTTGTTTGACGATCACGATGCTTCTAAGAGATCACAACACTGTATTCTCCATTATCATCCGAGCAGTTTTCCTTCTAGAGCAAGTAATCTTTTTTCTTAAATTCGTAATTTAAGACACATGCGACTTGAAGTTTCTTTCATGTGTTGTCTCCCTATTTTTCTAGTTCCTTGCTGATTAGAAGTTCTAGGGACTCACTTTAATCACAATTTTGTGGTTTGTAGATGTGTCTAGAGTTCTTGAGTTTGAAGCAATGGTTGTGTGCGTATAGAGCTTGGTAGCAGTCTATTAAGGTAAGGGAAGCTATTGATTATTCTTTAATTTTGAAATTTACAAGTATGATTGATAGTGGCTGGAATACCATGTTGATTGAGTATAATTGCATTATTTGTTCTAGTGTTCGTTGTGTTTTTTTAATGAGTTTAATTAGTTGTGTGATGCTTGATGCTTACTATGATTCAGTTGTAGATTTATCTGATGTTGTGCATGATTGATGTTGTGAAGATTAATTGCATGAGTTTGGTGTAGCAATTGAAGAAAAAAAGTTATTGGGGTCTGTTGTTGGGTCATTTTGGACTTGTTCAAACCTCCAAATACTAAGTTATGTGTTAAAATTGGTAGAATTGATTAATGATCCATATAGTGGTATTTTAGTTGACTTGAATTGGAATTTCATGTTTAATGAGTTTAAACTTGGTTTAAGTTGGATCTATACACTTGGATTAGTTAATTGAAGCTTAGAGTACCAAATGAAAGTGGTAGAAGTTGGTAGAGGTGCATAAGATAGGACATGTGAGATTGAGAGGGTGCAAACTCTGCATAATTGGTGTTTTGCAGAATTTTGCATAGTGGCTAGGCGAGTAAATAGACCTTTGGGCGAGTATTTAGAATGTTTTAGCAGTGGGTTTCAGAGGTTGAAGGAACTCTTTGTTTGAGCTCTCTCTTTGAGCTTTCGCTAAGCGACTAGATTTGCTCGGTGGACGAATTAGTGCTTGCTTGGCGTCAGGACTCAGACACTAGATAACTAACTAGTTGGACACTCTTGGTTGTTTTATCTTCTTTTCTATGTTGAATGTATTTATATATTATTTATTTTATTTTGTTGTATGTTTTGAAAAAACACACCATGTAATTTATAAATTTTGTTATAAAAAAATAGGAGTAAATAAAAGAAATAAGATTATTACATTAAGTAAAAAAATGCAAATGATATATAATAACGTTGGAACAATAAATGGTAAAAGAATTATTTATGAGAATCGGTACTAGAAAGTAATTTTCTTAAGTTATATTCAATAGATATGTGAAGAGGTGGTGTAACTCGACTATCATTTGACATTCTCATTACCTTCATCATTTTGGCTTTGATTATTAGATTTTTTTTCTTATTTGAAAGCATACCTCTGATATGTGAAAAATATTACATCATGTTTTTCAATTAAAAATGAACTATTCACATAATAAAATTAAAATAAGTTATGCAAAGAAGAAGTACTTGATGAAGTATATTGAAAGTGGGTCCTTCCTTTTGTTGATACATAGAGAGAATGAAAAAGATAACATCAGGAATTCATGATTACTACTACTATTAATAGATGGATATAGAATGATTTTAGTACAGATTTGCACACAAATATAGAGTGATGAGAAACAGAGGCGTGAAGCAAGTAGTAGTAGGCGAGTGCTCATGCTGCTTCAGTTCAAACAAGAAGGGAGAGAAGTGGTAGTAAGATCGAGGAAAGCAGGTCTGCCACCGGCCACCTCTTTGTAGACATACCACTCTTTTCCTCACCACCACCTGCACCTGCCATTTTCAACTTTCAAAACAAAGCATATATGGCATAAGATTAATCACAAACATATATTAAGAGTAATATAATAATAATCACCACTGGAAACTGGGGTGGAACTGTTTGATTTGGCGGATTTTTGCAATCCCTCAAACACCTTGGCATCAGGAGAGTTAGGTGCTAAATGCAGAAGATCTGAAAAGTGTGATATTATATATGAAATGGAATGAAAATGAAAACGAAAATATTGAGAAAAAAGAGTGAAATGATATGAGTAGGTACCTACACAGTGAGATATATTAGCAGGTGCGTTGCAAGCAGAGGGTAGTTGAATGGCGAGAGTGGCATTGATTTTGATGCCAAGATTGGGGTCATCACGATCTTTGATGAGGATGCAGATGCACTTCTTGCTCTTGTCGAGGACAGCTTTGAGACCACTGCAGCAGTCTATGGTTGGGGTTTTGGCCTCACCACCAACGTAAGGAACACAGCTAGCCAGCCCTATAAGTTTGTCTGCACACTCTTCTCTGTCTTTGCCTAAATCTGAGTTACCAAACCCAACCAACAGTAAAAGCAAGATGAAGGAGGAGAATGCTGCATCCCTCACCCTTTTGCTTTTGGAAACCATTCCAATTAAGACTTTGTTCTTCAAGGGAATCTGATCTGATCTCATACAATGCTATGCTATCCTATGCTATGTAACATTGTGCTTTGCTTTGGTTGTGACTTATGTATGACTTTACTTTACTAGCCATAGTGCTCTGGCCTGTGCCTGTGGGACCTACATCTCTATCACATGTGAACCAAGTTTTGTCTCTAGGCGTCCTATAATCCTTCATTATGTTTCTTTTATCGTAAAAAAAAGGTTTAATTCCTATTTTGGTCTCACTTTTCGTAGGGTCTGTTCAAATTGGTCCTACTTTTTTTCAAAAGTTCACTAAGATCCCACTTTTCGCAAAAACGATGCACGTTAGTCCTTTTTTAGGTTTAATACTTATTTTGGTCCCTCTTTTCGTAGGGTCTGTTCAAATTGGTCCTACTTTTTTTCAAAAGTTCACTAAGATTCCACTTTTCGCAAAAACGGTGCAAGTTAGTCCTTTTTGGTTACGGCGTTAAAAAACTAACGGCACAGTTGTCGAGCTGGAAGAAAACTGATGAGGTGTACAATTTTTTATTTGACGTAGCACTGTGAATTGGTGATTCATCCTGAAATTAAACCCTACGAAAAGTAGGACCAATTTGAACAGACCCTACGAAAAGTGGGACCAAAATAGAAATTAAACCTAAAAAAAACTAAACCATTTGTGCAATTCCCTTTTATTTTTTCCAATATGAACTTATATGAAACCAGACAGCCCACAGGAATAAAGTAAGATGAAGAATATCAAAAGCAAGCCACAGGAAACCCTGATATCAACTTCACTGATAAATCCCAACAAACACATTTTGTTCAACCCATTGTATGTTCAAGGAATTTAAACAAGGAAGAAGCATGTACCTCTGAAAAGTGATGCTGAAGCAGAAAATTGGAAAAAAAAAAAAAAAGCGGTCAAATTCCAATTTCATGTTCTGCATACACTCCAAAGTGATTAAGTGAAAATCTGGTGAAGCCCTTTTCTATCATTCATTCATCAACTTAGGAGGCTGAAGTGGGAGAAATCAAATCACCTAAGAAATTGCATACAAAAGGTAAAAGGTTGAGTTCAACCTGTGCTAAATGTACAATAATTTCTTCTGAATAAACACAAAAAATCTACATTTGAAGTCGAAAATCGATTGACACAAATGAAGGTCAACAATGATGACAAAAGAAACTCAAATCTTTACTGTAATTGAAGGGGCTTAGCTGCGGTTCTGTGTTTTTGGTTAAATCCTTTAAATGGACATTCAATTAAAAGTCAATATAACAGTAGTTTTTTTAAAAAAATTATGATTTGCTGAAATAGCTGCGGTTGTGTGTTTTTATGGTCTGATTAACACGGGAATCTTTCTGCCCTTTTTTAATATATAAAAATTGGATAGTAAGAAATTCGAAGTTGTTATTTTATTTTAGTTGAAGATATAGATGAACCCGTGACAAATCGATAAGTTCTTAAGGCTAATCCGTGATTATTTTGGATCTATTTCTGAACAGGTGCAGTTGATTAGAGACAATGGGTTAAATCCCAATAAAGTATCAAATATAAAATAATATTACTTTTATGATAATATAATTTATAATTTTTTTACGTTAATAACATTTAATATATATTATTTTAATTTATATTCACACAATAATAATAGTAATATATTTCTTGTACTTTTAAGAATTTTTAAATATTTTTCATATATATATTATTAAAATAAATAAACGTATGCATCTGATATGCCTTCATAAGCTGAAGCAACAAAGTAGATGGCAGGCACTCTTTATTTATGCACCTTCAAAATTTTGCAAAATGACTATTTTATTTTTTTCAGAACTGACTTTTGGATTACTGAAAATTATCTGGAACAAGTTTTTCAAATAGAAATTCTGAAATGTATATAATATCTTTCGGAATGAGATTATTTGGAGCATCCCACATGAAATGTATTATGGAACAATGAAGAATATTTTAGTTTATTTTTGTTAGTTTCATCAAAATAGGTTGCAACTCGTTTTGAGCCTGTTTGAGTTGAAAAAAAATATAAAATCTTTTATGCAAGCCAATTTTGATCCAGTTTAATAAGAACTCGACTCACACGGGTTGAATCAGTGGTGGGTCGAGTTGGCTCACCAACTCACATATTTTTTTTAATTAAATTAAATTAATTAAATAAATTATTCAAATCCTATTCTTTTTAATTGAAATCAAATTAATTAAAATAATTATTCAAAATGCACAATCTTTACTTAGTAATAGAGCCTTTCGCGCTACTATCTTTCCAAAAGTTCTCGTTTGCAAATAAAACCCTAAGATTATAGATTGAATAATATTATAAACGGAGATAAAGAAGAAGATGCTTCGAGAGATTGACAAAATTTTATGCTTAATAGCTTAGAATATATATAACAATATATTTCTTTTGTTTCATTTTCTTTTATATCAATTGGTTCAATTATTATTGTTTCAATTTGATCGATCAAAGTAACATGTTATAAGAATCTGAAAAGAAGATGGTAAAAAAAAAGTTAATTAAATGAACCAATAAACCAACCCGTTTAACTCACCAACCCGTGATGGATTGACTCACTAAGTGACCAACCTGTTGTGGATAGAGTCGGGATCGGACCAGGTTACTCGTTTTGACAGCTCTATTTTTTGTTAGTGTGCAGAGCATTTAATAATTGTGGGGGTGCAGGAAGCAATATCCTCACCCCAAGCGCAAAACTCAAGCCCAATTTTATGAGTTATCTGCTCAGGCGGCTTCTTCCTATACCTTCGTATATGTCTTCCTGCACCTCCATAAAAACAAATTCCTTTTGAATTGTGCAATCTAAATTACGGAATTCAGAAACTAAATAACTTCTGGAGTGTGCAGTCTAAAAACTAAATCCAAAAGTTATTTTTGACTTTCAAATTGCACAATTAAAAAATGGCGAGATATTTATAAAAAATATTAACTTTTACAGCTCCAGGAATAAATATTTTAAACTGTAATTATGTCAAAAACATTATCTAATAAGAAACTATGGACTAAATCTAAAATAGTTAAAAACTTATTTCAAATTATACATTTTAAATATAACTTAAAACTAACAGGCGCAACCGCAGTGACGAAATCCAAATGCAAATGAAATCAAGTGGCTTACATAGTGGAGGGATTACCACATTTCTGAAAAGATTGGCTGAACTCAATTCTCCTCAACTAAAACTTGTAATAAGAAAGGCCCAAAAATAACTATGACAATATGTCCTCTCAACTAAAACTTGTAATAAGAAACCATCTATACAATTAGTATCTCGCCTGCTTGCCTAAAACAGCAGTCATAACTCAAGATTTCACTGTCAGCGACGTATCTGTGGCCACATCAAATTCCCTCATTGTCCAGGATTACCCTTTTGTTGTGGAGGTGCAGAAGTGGGTGAAAAGGGGTCATAAATTTGGTCCGCAGAATATGGTAGCTTACCAGAAGCCATGAGGGTATTGTTGACAAACTTGTGATTCAGGGGCATTTGGATATCTGCCCGTGCCATCTGAACGGCGTAGCTTTGTCGGATAGGCATGCCTCTTTGGGCAACAGCACTGGTCAAGTTTGGCCTTTGCGGAGCAGGAATGAAGTTATTCATACCCATTTGTGGGACTGGAGATCTAGGTGCAGGTTGACCACCATATGGAAATGAAGTATGCCTTGGTGGAGGAATTGAGTTCGACATGGAACCTGATCTTCCCCCGAAGGAAATGGTTTGATCCACTTGAGCAGGGAATTGTGTCCTAGGAAAGTTTTGAAGAGGCTGATCATGCACGCCAAACCCAAATGGCGGAGGCCGAGGGCCAGAAGGTGGCTCCTGCGTAGCACCTGCTTGACTGTTTGGTCCAGAAACCACTTTACTGTAGTCTGCATTGGGGGGATGTGATCGAAAAGTAAAATTTCCAGATTTTGATGGCGCCAAGACAGATGGTTTTACATGGGTGTGAAAAGGAGCAATTCCAGAAGCAGAATTGGGTATTCCTGCTTGCTGAGGCAATGGAAAAGAGGGGGATATTCCTGACGAAGGAAATGAAACAGGTCCTGATAAATGGTTTACAGATGAATGTTTAGGTGCAGGTATTGGTACAGACATAGGTCTCAAAGATGATAGTGGTCCGGGGGATATTCCTACTTGATGTGGAGGAAAGGAAGCAGATCGTGGTATCATTGACATATTTGACTGTGGTGGCATAAATGCAACTTCCGGTTGATGATGTAGAGAGCCAGGTCTTCCAGGTGGAGCCATTGACCCCATATTGCTGGGACCAATAGATGTTTTAACAGCGACAAGGGCTTCATTCTGTCCAGAAGGGGCCCCAAGATGGGTGATGGGCTGGTTAGGTATGGTCAGTGGTGATACACCAGATATGGGTAGAGGAAATGAAGACACTGATGTCTGCACTTGTCCTATTGGCGTTGATTGGCTTAAAGTAACAGGAAATGAATGTGAAGCATTTGTTGGAGTTGACAGATTCCGTACAGATATTATAGAAGCATTTCTTGGGGGCCCAACGTGACCCAAAGGACTCGCTTGAGTCAAATGAGGATAGTGTAAAACCTGTCTTGGTGGTGGTGCTTGCACGGAAACATGTTGATTTGGAATAATTGGTTGAAATCCAGGTTGAGCACCAAAAGTAGGAACCGAATTTGAAGTTTGTGATGAAAAATGGGGAGTTCTAGCAAGGCCTAATGGGTTTGGGGGGGCTACAGTGCCAGATGAAGCAAAAATGGGGGTATTAGAAGGAACCACTGAAAACCATGGTGTAGAGTATTGGAAGTTATCTTCATACTTTTGGGTAACAGCTGCTGGTTGCAGAACAGCCTGGTTTTCCAGAGAAACAGAATCTGCATGAGAAGGCTGGCCTTCTCGGTTTTGACACAGAATATCAGTGCTTTCCCTAGAAACTGATATAGAGGGTGTAGAGCCAGCGTCTAAATTCCCCTGAATAAAAGACAGCAATTATTACAAGGAACGAACAAAATTACATAAGGAATGACATCATTATAAAACTAGTAGTCATAAAATATATTATTAACATAACCATAAATCATACAAACTTTTGTCATTTGAAATGACAAGACTCACAGTTACAGAGGTAATCAGCAGTTCAATTATTGACATTGCTGCATCCACTTTTTC